ATGCCACAGTGTTTAAGTAATTTATTTAATAATATACTACACTATTTGTACTATATATTATACTTAATTAATAATGTAATTTTTGAAACAATAATGATTTTTGAAAGAAACTGTTTTATTTTAATCCTTAGAGAGTAATCTGGTAATATATCAATCATTATCAACATGTTTTCAGACGGTTTGAATAAACAGTCTAGTTACCTTGTATTTTGCATGATGTCGTACTATTTGTCTATGCAGTTTAACAAATTACTTCAAAAACAAAAGAAGTTAACGACATAAACCAGTAAATTACATAAGTATAAAAAGTAGTTGATGATTATTGTTTTAATATTAAAAACGTAATTATATATTTCAAAATTTGACGTAGTATAAATATTTATTATTAAATCCAGTTTTTTATGTTTATTGAATGTTGCAATATTAATTATAAAAACTGTTATAACTCTAGTTACAGCTACTGCTATACACTCCATAGTAATAAAAAAGGCCATTCTTTGCTATACTGGAAAAAATAGACACTTAAATTGATTAGAAACAAGAATAGATAAATCAAGTAATGTTACTTTTGAAGCCATAACAAATTGAACTTTTAGGCCCTCACGCCATCTAGAATTAGCAACACCACAAAAATTCTTTCCAGCTGGTTCGATGTGAGTTTCCTGCAAAAATATCCACAGAAATATGGGTTGCAGAAAAAAGCACCTGATGGTGTCTTGTTGCGTGTGCTCCCGCTATCTCCGCGTTCCACCACCTCCGAACCCAAATCTGTCCCGCCACCTCCGAATTCTTGAGTGACCCTTATAATCCCGTCACTGCCTGCGTTGGTAGTCACGGCTGCGAAGCCCCGTGGATGGGAGATTTAATGAAAATTTAACCCGTGGGTTAGGTTAGGTTAGGTTACAGTGCGTTCAAACAGCCGTGGCACCTGATGGATTGGGAGACCCCAAGGGTCTTTATGGGGTCTCCTAATCGGTCAGGTGCCACGGCTGTTTGAACGCACTGTAGGTTAGGTTAGGTTAAGTTAGGACGGAAATTCTTAACGCAAATAGTAACCAAGGATTATCGGGGTCACTCTGAAATTCGGAGAGGGCGGGACACGGAGGTGGCGGGACGCGGAGATAGCGGGAGGTAACCTCTTGGTGGGATGACTGGGATTGCTGTGTTGCAAGCTCGAAGACCATATATTTCCTTCTTTGGAGGCGGCCATGCTTGAATGCGAGCCTATTGTAATCGTTTAATTACAACAAGTAAAGATCGTCCAAAGTAAGATTTTCAAAGATATTATATTAAGTTTATTATTAAGTTAGTTTTGGAAGTACGATATCATCAACAAGTTAAGCTCAACACCACAATGAATGATAACACTATGTTGCGGTATCAACTTGAAGTGACGACTTTTATGAATAGCATTATATCACTACCTGAGACAGGGATCTCACATGGTGCGTATTTTAACCTGCATATGAAATTATATAATATCAACATAAAAATGATGAAAATATGTTACTATTGAAAAAATTGTATGCACATAGAATACATTTATCCGAAATTTTATAAAACTTAAAATTAAATCTTCAGTTATAACATTGTCTAAGGAATATAAGAATATATTCCAGGTAAAGTGGTGTCAACATTTGCCTCACATAAATAATATCAATGACGGGGGTACGGACATGAATATTCATGTATGTATACATGGTATTTTTTTTTATATATTTATTTAAACCATTGCTTATACTTATACAAAGTCAAAGTCATCTTTATTGTCACATAACGTTTTTTTCAAATGCTCTGGCACAGCCGACATTGTCAAACTATACTAAGATAAACTAGCTTATTGGTAAAAATAAATACATAGTAAAAAAAAACAAACAATACACATTGATTTGTCTTTGAGAAACAGATCTATACTATAATAATTCTTTTCCAACAAAAACTTAACAATGTTTCCTTAAAAGATACTAATCCTATTATCGATTCGTAGAACCCATGCAAATAGTTCAAACATCTTTTACCCATATAAGAAGGTGTCCTTTCCACAACATTTAATCTGTGTATAGGATATTGAAAATCTTTATTAAATCTAGTGTTATAATTGTGCCAATTATTTTCACTGAGGGGTTTTTCGAAATTTGATTTCACATACAATAAACATTTAAGAATATACAAATTAGGGACGGTTAGAATTTTTAGTTCTTTAAAAAGTTGTTTGCAAGAATGTTTTACGGGTTTGAAAGACATTATTCTAAGTATTCTTTTATGAAGTTTAAAAAGTTGATACGAATCAGAGGTGACGCCCCAAAGCTCTATTCCATACTGTAAAATTGATGAAAATAAAGCGTGATAAATCATTAGTCTAGTGTTTAAATCATTTCTTAAGACCATTCAATTAATTATATTACCCTTAAACATTTAGCATGAACTGTTTTTACGTGTCCTCCTAATTTCATTCTCATACCTCCACAAAACCCTCTGAGATATCGCCGTAAAGTCCTCTCTTACAGTCCCACAAATCCCTCTCTTATATCCATTGAAAGTTACTTGGTATCCTATTTCACCGTCTAACATTCTCAAAAACTATTTATAGGCCTACATAACCCCACAAATATCTATCTTGTATATCTCCACAAGATCCGCTCTCATATCCTCATAACGCCCTCTCTTGTGTCTCCTGGATAATCACCATCGCACAAACCCAAGTAACTGTAGAACTATGAACTCTTTTCTCATATCGCCATAAAGTCCTCTCTTATATTCCCACAAGTCCCCCTCATATATCCTCACAAAACCCTCTCGTTTATCCCCACATGCCCCTCTCTCATATCCTTATAAATTCCTCTCTTATATCCCCACATGCTCCTCTCTTATATCCTTATAAATTCCTCTCTTATATCCCCACATATCCCTCTCACATATCCTCACTATGCCCTCTCTTACAATGACCGTTATATCCTCTGAATGTTCTCTCTTATATCCCCACTAATTCCTCTCACATATCCTCGTAAATCCTCTCTCATAGTGACCGTTATAGCCCCACAAGGACAAAAATCGGCACTTGGTAAATGGACAAATTTTTGAGAGAGGGCCACAAAAAACAACAATTTTATCTAACAATCTTCTCTCACTAGATTCTTTCTAACACTAAAAATGGCAGAGTTCCCACAAGTGACCATACAAACAAGTATCCCCGCAAAGCACCAGATGCTGGACAGAGAGAGAGAGAGAGAGAGAGGAATACGTCGAGGTCAATCCCAACCGCTGCAATATTGCATTGACGCTGTCACTCGTCCTGGGTAACGTGGTGACGGTAATTCGATACACAAGAGTGGTTTGTTTTTATATTTGGGCTTAAATTATAATTTTAAATCGATGTTTGAATTGCCGTTTATCTTCTTAGGCTTGTTCTTTACGTAAAATGTAATATAGATAATTGTACTCTTCACATTCACTTAATCAATTTATTATTTTATTCGTATTAAAAATTTACTGTTCCCTAAAATTTGTTTATTGCCCTGGCTCTGCAGCCCCAGTTACACCACCCCGGCTTCCCCGACACGGCTGAAGCCAATTCTGTTGAAATTCCTAGGCCTACTCAGCTCTTTTCAATTAAGTTATGTTATAGAACTTTCAAGTTATGTTATAGATATGCAAAAGGGTGTGGATTGCTAAAAACAGTTCTGCAGTTACTGCAAGTACTGTATAGTATATACTCTATAGATTGGCTTAATTCCTAGAAATCAAGCGAAACATTAGGATAGGTAGTAAAGAAATAATAAAATATATCGGCTACTAACTACTACAATGTTGGCACATTTAAGATTTCTAGGAAACATTTGATTTCATAATCATTATTTGATTCATTATTCCTTGTAGGAATTATTTGTAGAACTTATAGGCTTACTAATCAACAATGAAGCCCCGAATAACATCATCATCGGGGGTAAGTCCCGATGAACAATCTTCCATATTTTCTATTTATTTTTATATGTATAGGCAAGTATAATGTTAGCCAGCAGCCAGTCCCTTGATTTAATGTTGAATTGTTCATTACAGTAACTCCCTCTTATCCGGACACCTTTTAACCGGACTACACTCGGCGCAAATGACATCTCTTTAACCGGACAATTTTTATCAGCACATTGGTTTAACTGGACTAGATCGGCAGGAAGTGGACAGTACTGAAACGACTGTTCTCGTGGGAAAGATTTGAGACCAGTGATCACGTTTCTAAATACAATGCTCTCCTAAATTTAAGTCGAATATCACAGTAAATGGTCCGTTTTAACGAGTTTTTGGGGACGTCGGTTTAACCGGAAAACCCGTTATCCGGACTGGCCTCGTTCCCGAGGAGCTTGGATGAGAGGGAGTCTACTGTAGGTGCGGTAACCAGTTGAAACTAAGTTAACAAAATCTTTAGCAGAATAATCTTAACAAACACTCATCTTTACAATTTAAACTTATTTTTAACTTCCTTTCCTATTCATAACCCTAAAACTGTTGACAATATAAATACCTATAGGCCTTAATACTGTTGTCCTCTGCAGTTTTAGGCTGTTGATCTGGTGTTACATGTTTCAGGAACACATGGGGGATGTTACAAGTTACATGGGTGTGTTGGCATGCCATCATCAAAATAAAATCCTTTTCTCAGTACAGTATCACGGGAAGTCGACATGCCATGGTCACTTGAGGGAACAGATGCGTAACATGTGTGTGTCAAACAAAGCTTAGGGCATGATTAATTTCCTGATAATAGGTTTGTAACTTTTTGCGAGCCTAGGCTACTCTTATTCAAAAGCAGGTTTAAATAAGTGTCAGTGCTTGTTTCCAATAGTCTCATTGAAATTTGCATTCATTCATGTTACGTCCGCCCAACATGTCCTTTTTTTTAATTATTAGTCCTCAGAATCAAAGAAACATAAGTTAAAAGCTTACCTCTAGGGCAAGCCGATTGCACCATTATGTTATTTCCCATTAGTGTAGGCTACTTGACAAACCTGTTGCACGCTCTTATCCAGCCAGTTAAGAGCACCGAGACGTTTGAGAACTCGTCGGCGCTTCTTTGCAGTTAGTATCCAACCCAGCGGCCAGGGATGTACGGAGCTATTCCTCGGTTTTGTTACCTGGTTGTAGGTGTCACGGTCCACCCATGTTACGTATAACTGTGGTAAACAAAATCACTCTATAATCTGCACTAATCCAAAAACTTAATGGTTTTTATTGTAAAACACTTCATTCATAACCAACACAGTTCTTTATTTGGTGTATACTTGTAATGAAAAAATATAACGAGAAAGTGTAAAGCTTGAAATGTGTAAAGGAATCGTAAATTCAAATTTTAAGGTAAAATGGACTTTTCCTATTGATATAGTGTTTTGAGTACACAACATTTTGGGAGGTAAGTAGGTAAACTCCGCTAGTTTTAAGTGACCTTAATATCTACATTTATCTAAGTAATAACCCTATCTAATGTGAAAACCTACAAAAAACACATAAGAAAAAAATTAAAATACATATTCTAAATATTTAAAGCGTATTTTATCTAAAGTACCAAACATTCAAGACTTGTTTGTAAAATAAGGTCCTAACAAGCTCCAGTCCAATCAAGAAACCTGTTTTTAACTGCTAAATTTTTCACGTCTTTTCTTTCACTGAATAAAAATTGCTTTTAAGCTTTAAGCGTTTAAAACCGATTGTAATCAAATTTCATGTGTCAGCAGCATAAGGTGCATTAAGACTACTGAAGTGTACAACATGTTAAATTTCTATCATGCAACAATGCACAATGCAGTTGCAGTCGAGCTTTGATTATCTAAGTTACCTATGCTAGTCCCGAAAAGGTAAAAGTGGTAATATTAGATTAGGTGATAACATATAAAATTATAAAAATCTAATGTAAATATGTTAAAATATTATTTGATGAATAATGTTCTCTGTTATCGGTTTAAAATGGATCATGCACACAAGGAGGGTTAGGCAATATAACACACAGGGTCGGATGCTCAAGACTTTATTGCAGTACTTACTTCAGCATTGGCAAGTACAGTGTTCATGAGCGACATGTACGCCCTCATGTCTGATTTCGTTAAGGTGTCCAAGTCACCAGATAATGATATTCCCTGGAATACATACAAAGTTAAAAATAAATTAAAACTATTTTAATTTAATTAAAAAACAAAAAACATAAGTATAAACCCTTGAACTAGTCTAATGTAACTGGATTTTTATTGCATTTGCATTTGTGTTTTAAAAAAAGTTAAGATATTCCCAATTTCAAATTTTAACTTTATAAAAAAGCCTATCATCTTGAAAAGGTCAACATGGATGTTTTATCATCAGAAAGAATGAAAAGTATCTGGTCGTATGCTTCAGGGGTTATGTCTCGTGTTGTTATATACCATGAAGAACTAAGATCAAGATGTAATGGTGTTGTAAAGTTATCACTTTAACTTTATTAAATCTCAATTTTTACTAAAAATCAAGTAGTTGTTATTCAAGAGCTTGACAACGGCGACGAGTGAAAAATCTACATCAACCAACCGTGTGTATATTTACAAATAAAGGATTCGTCATGTGAAGTAACCTAACGAACCACCAACATATAAGGTTCCAAAATGAACCAAATCAATCTATATTTTGACCATTCTTCTGGCGATTTCGCCATATTTAAGTCAAAATTGGAGAATTCATTCATAGTTAATAAAATTACCAATGAAGACAAGCAGGCATTGCTCATTACTTCCATTTCGGATAATACATAAGTTATAGGCTACTCACAAGTTTGAGTGTTCCTAAAAAGTTCTCTGAGCTTAAGTATGACGAACTAATTAAATTATTAGAATCTCATTTCAAACCTAGAAATTCATTTCTATTTTGCCAGTAGGAGGAAATTTTATCAGGCTCGACAGGATCATAATGAATCCATTAAATAATTTGCAGCTCAGTTAAGAAGTCTAGCAGGTGAATTTGGTTTTGAAACAGAATTGGAACTTCTTATGCGAGATGTGTTTACTTTGGGCCTTAGGGACCCTAAAATCCAAGATAGGCTGTTTGAGGAGGATGCTTCAAAGACCACAACTACATTTGAGAAAATATTAAATTTAGCTGTGTCAAAGGAGGTGAGCGAAAAAAATTTGTTGCCTATAAAGTCTGAGCCTGCGGAATTCAATCAATTATCTAAATTCAAGCATGGTTACACCAAGATGAATATAAGCATAGACAAAAAGAATTCGATATAGACCGTCAGCTGTGCTGCGGTTACCATAGGTTCTGGCGCACACCGCTTGGAGCGCCATGTAGTTACGGCGTACGCGCTACGTAAACTACAGCGGTGTGAGCCGGAACCTATGGTAACCGCAGCGAAACTGACAGTCTATATTTAATTCTTTTTGTCTTTGATATAAGCCAACTGGTAGTGGTACGGGTAAGGATAAATTTTCTTTCAGGCCTGGACCGAAGTGCAACCATTGTGGTAGGAATAACCAAGTGCGGATTGCAACTACAAGGACTACATTTGTCACATTTGTAATGTAAAGGGTCATCTAGCCCATGTTTACAAGAAAAAACCCTGTTGCAGCAAACCTGCAGACTAAGCGAATTTCCATTTGCCTGATTGGATTTGCACCAAAATGTCTCCTTAAAAATATCACATTCATCCCCTATTTAAATAACAGTTAAGCGAGTACTTAGGTTTGCTGCAACAGGGAGGGTAGAAAGGTGTTTTTTTTTTGTAAAATGTTAATAGTTTAGTATAAAATGAATGCATTTTCCAAATTTGATCAAAATATGATCATAAACAAGCAAACTACAACAGTTTACTTATTCTCCATAGGAATAACATGGAATTTTTAATTTACAGTTTTTTTTTAATTTTCTCCGTAACCATTAGACGCATAATAACGCTTCAATATACTAAATTATTTGTTTTTTTAAGCTCTACAAAATGGTTTGGAAGGAAAATGCTAAATTTTATGTTTTTAGGGTCAAAAATAGGAAAAACCAATTTTTGCCCCATAAAACCCCCCATAAACCCCTGGTTCGCGAACTCGTTCGAATAAATGTAGGTCTACACATTTGTACCAAATTTCATTAAAATTGGAAAATTTTTGCTTGAGTTATCGCGCTAACGGACACATATATAAATAATAAATATATATATATGAATTTGAACGGATAGTGTTTTTGGTCTCTAGGGACCTCAAAACGAAAAAGTAAATCGGTCCCGGGTCCAGGTCTTACCATGAGTACTACGGTAAATAGCTTATTCCCTGTATGGGAAATTCGCTGAAAGGTGCTGGTAAACCTATGCTTAATAAAAACAGGGCCTACCAAAATTTAAAGCTAAATTTATGGACGGTACCGGTAGTGGTGACGCGACAACCCAGGATGAATCAAACCAAGATCCAAATCACGATGGTAAAGATGAAGTTAATTTAGGGGACACAATTGAGTGAAAATTTAAAAACGTACGTTTTCATGTCCCTGGCCTTTTACTTCGTAGATACTGGATTTGTAGTTTATTATTATGTGTTTTAATATTTTTTGGGACGGGGGCAACATGTTACACACATTTATTCGGTTTTAAATAGGGTCTAGGTATTTTTTTCGTATTTTTAAAGTCTCGAAATTCACGACCATGACGTGTCCCTAGGGTACATTTTCCAACTTTCACGCTGTTTTTAGACTAATTATTCATGCCGAAATATATAAAGCCATATTTTTATGTCATCAATGGTTATTAAACTTACAAAAAAGGAGCATATTATAATTTTATTGTCATTACAAACTGACTACCATTACATAATAAGTCTGTCCCTCGATTTGGCGTCACGACCATTTGGGAAAATTTGTCAACTTTGGAGCACGACAGTGGCAAGCCTGGCGTCGATGGAGTCAGTTGGTTTTAGAGACTAGTTCGGGGTGTACGTGTCGTTTCGAGTTGAAAGGAGGAATTACAAGATTAATAAAGGAAAGATTGTGTTTTTTGTAATTTTGGTGTGTCCATGACCGTACGTAGTCATTCAATGAAGTAGACATGGTGTTAATTTTTGTTTATAAGATATTTCAATTGCTAGATTAACCTAGAAGTCCACTTTGTATCCTCAAACATGAGGTGCAGGGCTACCGCCAGAACAGAGCCAAATAACACGTAATTTCACGACCAAAGTTTCACGACCATCGCGGGTTTTTTCACGACCAATCCAGCCTTATGGATTATAGTGTGTTTGGTCGTGACAATAACTTTAATATAATTGTAAATTGAACGGTTTAGTTCAATTGAAACACACATTTTTATTATAACTAACAGGATAATTGAAGGATTGTTTAGAAAGATTTAGATTATTCCAGACAATTCACGACCGTACCGCTTGTCCCTGACCATCACGTTTATGATTTCTATCATAAAAATTTCAAAAATTAAAATATCGTCATATTTCAATGTTTTATACACAAAAGAAGCACACCTCTATACAAACATAACAATTTTTCGGGTCTCAGGTAAGTTTTTTCGGAGTTATACAAACTTAAAAAGATTTTATTGGCTTTTTTTCAATTTTTTGAGTTTTTTTATTTTTTTCTAGAAAGACCAAATATACCAAAAGCTCAGTGACCTTTTTATTGTATAATAGTCATAAAAGTAAATTAGTTTATAGCAAAACATAGTTATAAAAATAATATTAACTATTTTTTATATTCATTTAAATGTCCGTTATGGTTGTGACAGGATTTTGTGTTTTTCCACTAAAGATGCTCTTTTAAAAAGAAACTACCAAAGATATTGCGTTACCACATTAGATATTGCATTTTTTTTTACATTTTACGAAACTTCAAATGTTAATGAAATAAAAAAAATAATAAAAGTTTTGAAAAAAGGTGAAAAAAATTTGCAAAGTGCTTTTCCTGAAAACGTACGTTTTTAAATTTTCACTCAATTAACATTGGTATCCTGGAGAAAGTGGACTAGTCAGTGGGCACCATCACGATCTCGAGAGATGTATAATAACTCTACAGGATAGCGCGCTGTGTGGTAGAAAATCGAATTGGCGGGATACCGAGGCGGACGGGCCGAATGAACCTCTCTGTTTTACACAAACATACATTCACTCAACCTGCTCTGCTACATTTATTTGTTAGCATACAAATTTCAAAATGATATATTATTTTTAAAAAAATTATTTATTTATTTTTTATTTTTTTAAATAAAAAAAAACACAAACAAAAACATAGAAAAAAAAAACAAAAAAAAATTATTTTTTTATTTTTATAATTTTTTTTATTTTGTTTTTTTATATTTTTTTATTTTTTATTATTTATTTTTTTTTTATTTTTTATTAAAAGTCTTGGATTGCTGATGAACCGCACATTAGACTGGACTGACGCAGTGGTAGATACTTGTAAAAGAGTATTTGCCGCCATTCACACAATGAAGAAGATGCAATGACTCCTTCCTTTTCACATCAAACTCTTACTGGTCAAATCACTTGTGTTTCCACACTTCAATTACTGCAACACTGTGGTTAATGATATGACTGTGGCTTTGGCAACAAAACTACAACGTGCACAAAATTATTGTATTAGATTTCTGTTTGACCTTAGGCAGGACGACCACGTCACACCTTATTACATAAATGAATCAATTTTGAAATTAGATGACCTCAGAAAACTCCGAATACTTTCAATCACTCATTCGGCTATCAATCTTGGAATTCCAAATTACATTGCAAAGAATTTTGAATTTTTGAATGAAAGAGGTGCAAGGGATACTCGCTCTGGCTCGTCTACGTTGCGCATTCCTCGTCACAGAACAACTATTTATAATAAATCATTTGTAGTCACAGCATGCCGCCTATGAAACTCTATACCCGATGCCATTAAATCCATAGAAAACCGATCCCGACTGAAGGCGACACTGAAAGAATATTATCTCAACCGGATGGTAGTGGCGTGGCGGGATGGCGTGCGTTAGGCTTAGCTGCTGCAAAGCGTGAATGTGTGTGTGACTGTATGCTAGGAAAAGAAATGTATGTTATGTTGTTTATTATTAATTATGTTACGAAATGTGTATTTTACTTTTGTTCATATCATGTATTATTGTTATTACTATTATTATTTAGAGGTT